TGGGAGCTTGCTTAAGACCGTAAAGGGCCTTTTTAAGCTTGTAGACACAGGAGGAGTGAGTAGGAATGACAAAACCTGGTGGTTGTTCCACATAAACCTCTTCTTCAAGATCTCCATTCAGAAATGCACTCTTGACATCCATCTGGTAGACCTTGATGTTGTTGTAGGCAGCATAGGCTAGGAAGATTCTGATGGCTTCAAGTATGGCTACTGGTGCAAATGTCTCATCAAAATCTATTCCTTCTTCTTGGCAGTATCCCTTGGCTACCAGCCTAGCCTTATTCCTTACACTCGGCTACAACACATACCGGTTGGCTCATACTGAAGGCGTTCAGCACCACAAGCGCACAAGCAATAACATTATCAAGGCTGTAAGTGGCATACACAACTGAAGCAAAGAGGGCGCAAACAACCACCAACCAGTATGCACAAATACATGAACCAAACACATTTGCACCAGGCAAGTCAAAAGAATCACACAAGTGCCCATAGAGGTTGGAGAAGGGCAATGGGCAGTGAGACAATGTTGAAGGATTGTTTTTAAGATGCAGGGGCATATGATAACGTCAATGGATCAGCATGAACAATGATTTTGCAATGGATAGGTATGTGGTGGATAAACAGAATACAAGAGATGTGGCGTTGCGTTCAATGATTGAATAGAAGGAAACAAAAAGCAAACAAAAGGAAAAACACAGAATTAGGAAACGTCAACCCATAACACCATAAGTGAACAAATTAGACCATTATGTGTGCGAAAGGGCGCAGACCTTGAGGGTCTTCATTGCCACCATCATGCTCTTCTGGGGCAGCTGAACAGCTTGCCCGTTGTCGGGTACATACACCCTGCCTTTGAGGGCCCACGCGGCGGCGTTTATTCCAACGTTCACGCTGTTCAGCCAAAGGGACACGACTGTCAGGACCTCGACAAGGAGGCATCCACAAGCCGACTACCCAAACAAAGGCAACCGCTAAAGAATATGTGAAGATACCACAACAATCTTTAAAAACAAGCAATCAGAAAACAGAACACAAAAGGACCCAACCTAAGAAACACCACCCCAACCTAAATCTAATACGACAATCAAAGCAAAATGGATCAACAAACCGCAGCGGTGCCTTCAATTGAAGCGAAAACCAAACACAATACACAGACTACAACAACAAACACTCAACACAAACGTAAGACAGCATAAATCAAGCAAACATACAAGCACTACGTACTATTAAAATGAAATTGTCCAACTAAGAGGGCAGCACACTTACATGACGCACAAAGGAAAACACTACAATTGGAGAAACACTTATACAACACCTAAATAGAAACAAAAACAATGCCCATTCAATGTCAACTCACTCAGATATGCTCAATAAACCACAGGGAATGAGACAACGTTGTAAAACCAAGTAAGACCCCCCCCCCCCCCCCCCAAAAAAAACACCTATGAATAACACCCCAGTTTCCATTTTCATCCAAAGAAAATGATGGTGAAGCACAACCCATTGTCAACACTAAAGTTGCCACTCGACGAATAGAAACCAAATCAGGGAATTTCATAAAACACAAAGGCATTTAATACCATATAACACATAACAATAATCAAGCAAAGAAAGAAGAAAACCAGCTGAAAGGGGCGTGAAGAATAACCATCGCCCACCACACAAGAACAACAAACAATCAGAAACCAAAAAACGCCACTAATACAAACAAAGATCACCTACAAGAAAAAGAAAAAACACCATAAAAAAGGATTGTAACGCAAATTCAATAAACATCTCCAGAACACCCAACAAACGGAACAGTAGACACAAAATCAGCAAGAATCACACCCCCGACCTGCAAAATATGAATCGCGTAATAGAGAAGTATAGAACCATTAAAAACTGACCTGACAGAAGCAGAACCAAGAACAACTGATGCATTAAAAAAATGCCGCAAATGATCTCTGAAAAACCTAGGCAGCAAAGACAAGACATTTGGATACTTATACACGGCAGTGGATGACCCCTGGCCGCAGAACAGACATCTTGCACACGTGCGGTGTGGATGAAGCAGAAATCATAGACAAGGGAAAAAGCGCAGAAATAAATGGAAGGAACTGTTAGTTGGGATTGCGGCGAGTGTGAGGAAAAACAGACCGTTAAGATGGAAAAAGGGCCACGCTAACTCCCTTAGCGGCTTATAGTTTTTAGTAGATATGTATATATACTAGCAGTGAGTCGCTCTTTGCGCGATGGACGGTGCCCAATGGTGAAAACGGGATGTGAAAAATCAGCGAGAGTAATGACAATTAAGTTTGAGAAATAACAGGTTAAAAATGTCGAAATTTATAAACAACAGTGTAACAAAATTCAGTACGTGAAAATGATAATAGTTAAAGTAGTAGTACGTTAAAGGGTTGTTAATGTTGTAGAGTGCCGAATAAGTTTGACAAACAAAAGGTTAAAAGTGCCAAATTTGGCAGGAATACAGTCTTAAGTACTTGGCCCCTTCAAAAGAAGAATATTTCGGGGGGAAACACAACGCAGTAGGACATCAAAGGGCTGCTAATGTTGTAGAGTGTCAAACATGTGCAGTTATGTCACTGCATGTGAAGGTACCGATCTCATATGTGTGTTTATGGCGAGGCGGCTCCTCCACACCACATGCGGAAATGGTAAGGAGCCTAAGCCTGCCTCGACCATATCTGAAAAAGACCATACAACAATCTTCTTTGTTTTGGAAAGCCTGCTGAATGTCCTGCAGGATATCAGGGTCGGCGCCCATAAAGTACTCATCTTCAGTGTTGTGCCATATATGTACTCGCCCACGCTTATCACAACATGTTTTTAAATATGATTCATAGGTTTCCTGAGTTAAATAATCAGAGTGAAATGCGATTTGAAGAAGACAATCTGAAATGTGAAGGAAAATAAAATACTACATACCTCTGCAATATGGGTGGGCAGATAAAGGAATGATGTAGTACTAAAGAGTTGCTGGTATGAGCATGAAGGGAATGCGGATTCCACAAACACAAGGAAATGATCTGTGGTGTAAGCAAGAGTGAACAATCATGTGAAGGCCAAATGTAAGCAAGAGTGAACAATCATAGAACGGAATAATGTAAGCAACATTAATGAAGGAATCCTAAAGGTAAACACAAAGAAAGGCCAAACGATTCACCTCTTGCACTTGCAAGGGCAGGGAGTTTAGGGGGTGTTCCGTATAAAAAGGTTTTCTGAATGTGCACGGGATATACCTTCAGTTAGTGGGTCGTCACAGATACCATTGGGTGATGGGCCCAAGTTTAATGCAAAACCTTCTGCATCAAATGTCAGGATATCAAACATGAAATTCCCGGTGTGGCGGAGCAGCATGTGCGTGCCAGAGGGGATATCATTTTCCACCATGAAATGGGTGATCTCATCTTTGAAAGTGTATGCTTCAACATGTGTTGTCGTAGAGGTAGCTCCATACCTTAGTACAGCTTGCTGCTTGGTGTGCTCGAATAAGTGGCGGTGCATGCAAGGAGGTATTATCTAGATACAAGAAGACAAAAATAATAATCAATGCAGTAAAGCTGCGAATAACCATGAAAACATTCAAAGTGAACGTTAATATAAATGTATTGAATGAAATATTATTAAGTATACCGTTGTGTCAATGTATGGGATATCGAGGAGACACCAAACCAGAGAGAATTGGAGAACGTCAGGGAAATGAATTATGCTTGCCTTCAGACATGCTGGGCAGGGTGAATAACAAAGGTAAAAGTACATTAAATGAGAGTAGTTGTGTAATGAAAATGTAAATAAAACGGGGAACAAGTACATGAACCGGAAGGAAGTACAATCAACTACCTGCAGGCGGGGCAGAATAAGACCACGGCGCATAAAATGATTTAGTTTATGCTCAAGTTGTGTCTTGTTTCTAAACCGTGTTGGTAACAGCCTGTTGAATCCTGAGGCAATTAAGAAGTGTTTCCAGGCCATGCTGGTCTCACAGTCATATGTGTTGCTCCCTGTTTCAATGAGTATGGCAACAGATATTTTTCTGTCATGAACAGTGTGTAGGTAGTATGTGAAGGTGTTAGCACCTGCATTGTCTTTGCCAATTTCCACAGTACATCTGTTGAACAAATCCATGATCTGCCAAATGGAAACAGTATAGTATGAATAAGTAAATGAATGGCTTAAGTGTACTGTGCAGATGTTGTAAACATATTGCGTAACAAGTAGTTGTGTATATAATTGCCCTGAGGTTTGAACAGCTGTGAAAAAATTGGAGTATGTTACAATTCAGGGTGTGGGTATGGCTCACAAAATGTTGGAATGCTGGGTAGTTATTTTTTTTGTTTTAATATGCTTGAATATATTCGAAAAATCATGAAATATAAAGATATAGTTAATTCATTTGTGTGGTCGTACCCATACACACATGCAAAGTAATTGAAACTATGAGACCTCGGAGCACAGGGAACAGAACACTATCAGCAAAATGATGAGGTAATTATATATCCGAAATTACAACATGCACAAAGGAAATGAGAAGTACGGTTAAAATTATACCTCCTAAGGTAGAGCACAACAAGTTGAATAGCGACAACAAAACTTCAAAAGGAACAGAAACTAACAAGACCTTACCCTGTTCGAAGCTAGCAGGGTTTAACAAGAAGGCTACATGCTCAGACAAGTGAGACAGAGATAAGATGGGTTGGAGAATACTAGTAAAAAAAAGCTTTTTTACATCACCTTATCTACATGTGTTATTTTAAAACCCATGTAGAATACTAGCACGGGGTCATTTTTATAATTTTTATAAACTTTTTTAGATGGGTTGTTGTTATAACCCATGTTAAATAGCAAAACGGGGCACTTTTTAAAATTTTACGAAATATTCTAAATCGGTTATGTTTGGAACCGATGTGAAAAGAAAAACAGGGTACTTTTCAGAATTAACAAAACTTTATTTTAGATCGATTAAAACTGATGCGGAAGAAGAAAAGAAAAAAAAGATCGGATCTTATTCCAGATCGGTGGTACCCGATCTGGATTAGTTAAAAATTTCTAGCGCCTGATTTTAGCCCGATTTCAGACGTAGAGCAAGCAGTCGCGACGGAAATAAGCCAGAGAGACGGAAGGAGGAGGAGCTGCTAAAGTGGTGGAGCAGAAAAGAGGAGCTTCGTACACTAGAGGTTGGGAAGTGGGAACGACGACTAGGGAGCTTCTGCTCTACAGTGGCTGAACTGTTCCGGTGAATTCATTCTGCTGCACAAGTTAGTTTGATCTAATCTTCACACTTTAGCTCACTATCGCTGCAATTTCATTTTTTGGCTTTACAGAGTGTTTACTTAAGGTGTCCAGGACACTATTGATTTTCGTTTATTAAAATGGTTTGGAAAAACCCCTTTTTGTTCAATTCTTTCTATCTTAATCAGAGTTAGTTTTATTGTGTAGTAAAATTAATCAAGTTCAGGAGTATGATGGAGTGGATATGATTTAGTATGAAATTGTGATTTTGTTATGTCAAATTGATAGAATTTCATCTATTGTCCTCATTCTCTTGATTCTGTGCATTAATTTTAGGCCATTTCAGAATGATAGATGTTCTAGTGGATTGAAAGAGCTATTTTGTATACAGGAAATCAGGAATTGATATTTAGCTCTCTTGTAGTCTTGTTAGTTGTAAAAAAAAAAGAGCAGTTCAACGAGTTAGAGCTTTGGACACACTTCGAGCAGCTGGCGTTCAAGCGAACGGCGGACGGTGTTCCAGCGAACGGCGGACGGTGTTCTAGTGGACGGCAGACAGCGTTCGAGCAACGGACATGTCATCTTCTTAAGCAATTTACGGTAATTCCCAAACTCTTAAATTGTTTCCCTTCTTCTGTGAACTGGTTTGTAGCTTTACCTTTGCTCTTCTCTGTTTCTTGGTCGGTATTAGAACGCAGCTGTGTGGCTCCGTTTTTTGCCACACTTATGTTGCTCCGTTTTTTGCCACGCTTATGTGGCTCCATTTTTTCCACTCTTAAATTACGGTTACTTCTTATGTGGTTCTTTTTTTTGCCACGCTTGACTTTATTTTCCACGTCAGCCAGGTCATTGATGGTTGAATTTAAGAGGTCGAGTTATTGTTGCTAACATACGTACGCTCTTCATCTTTAAGCTGTAATTGCAGTAACTTGAATGTCATTTTAGTGCTCCAAATGCTGCAAGTTTTAGTGGAGAATGCAGCAAGTTAAGGGGTATATTAAGTTGTAAATGCATACATAGTGTAAGTTGTAATTACAATAAATTGAAGGCCATTTTAAGGCTCCAAATGCAGCAAATTTTAGCGATAAATGCAGCAAGTTAAGAGGCACATTAAGCCTATAAATGCACAACAAGTGTTAGCTGTAATTGCAGCAAGTTCAAGGCCAGTTTAAGACTTCAAATGCAACAATTTTAACCTTCAAATGCAGCAAGATATATGTTGATTTGATGCTGTAAATGCAGCTAGTTAATGGCCATATACTTACATGTTACAAGTCACATTAAGGTCACATTGTAATCTCTAAATGCAACCAGTTAAATGCTAAATTTATAAACCTACAAGTTGGTTAAATTTTTAAAACTACAACTTCTACCCCTATCCCAAACTGCAGCTCTTCCCACCTGCTAAAAAATACGGAGTATTACAATCACACAGTTATATTTTTCACACATTCACACTTAACTTTGTAAATACATAATTTGAACAATTACATAAACAGATCAAAATTTATGTAAAAAAGCATTCAAATTTAAACACCATCAATTAACATAACATCTGAAATTAACTAAACATCCGAAATTAACATACTATCTGAAATTAACATAACATCTATAATGAACATAATCTGTCTACTATATAATGCTAAGCATCCTACAAGTACAATACATCGTAGTTTAATTAGTGCCTTGTTTGTACGACAGATCATCATAGCTACAGCTACCACAACAAAAACCATCAATACAGTAGTCAACGATCTATGATTTCTCCTTTCTTCAATTTCAGATTGCAGGGAACTCTCTACTGTGTGCATGAAACAAATGTCTATGACTGTGTGCATGAAATTTAATGTATGTAATATGTCTATCTTTGTTATTATTCCAAGCATATTAGTACAAAATTTAATAGTGGGTTTTAATGATTTGTTAGAAGAAATTTGTTTACCTAGCTTTAAGTCATCATCTCATATAAATTTTAAATAATATGTTTGATTGAATATGTTACAAAAGGCACTGTGATTATGGATCGTAACTTGATAAATTCTAGACGAACTAGTGTTGAGTATCAAAATGGAGTGCAAGAGTTTCTAGAATTTGCCCAGAAAAATCTTCCTGACAGTAATAATAAATTTTATTGTCCATGTGTTAAATGCATAAACTTGCGACAACTCCATGTTGAGCTTATACGAGAGCATCTTATTTGTGATGGATTTTGTAAAAGCTACACAAAGTGGATTTGGCATGGTGAGTCAGTTGAAATGCCAAGTATGTCTTCACACAGGGATGAAGTTCGTGCAGATACGTATGATCATATGGATGACATGATACGTGATTTCGGTGTTGAGTCATTCGCACGAGCGCATGTATATGATAAGTTATGTACTGACGCTGAGTTGCCATTGTATCCGGGTTGCACTAAGTTCACATGGTTGACAATAGTGTTAAAACTTTTCAATATCAAAGCAACAAATGGTTGGACCGATAAGAGTTTCACTGAGTTGCTCCAGTTATTAAAAGACATGCTACCCGAAGGTAACACATTACCTGACCGGAATTACGAGGCAAAGAAGATTTTGTGTCTGATGGGTATGGAGTACAAGAAAATACATGCATGTCCTAATGACTGTATACTATATCGAAAAGAGTATGAAGATCTGCATAAGTGCCCTACTTGTGGAGTGTCACGGTACAAAGTTAAGAGCGATGAATGTGATTCTGAAGTGGTGACTACAAAGGGTTCCACTGCAAAGGTGCTATGGTGATTCTGTAAATGAGGTGCAAACGTATATATCTACAAGATTAAATGCAGGTGGAAAGCGATGTTACTTGGCTCCTTATTACTACCAGTAAGTAAAAGTTACTAGAACACATATTTGGCTCCTTGTTGAAGATAAAATATTTTTTTATGTACTCTTTTTTAAAAAAATTATTGTTTGTATTTTATCCTTTTTTTATGTATACAGGAATCATTGGCAGCTCTTTATCCTCTCTCCTGTCCAAAACACTATTGTCTTCTTGTATTCTTTGGGGAATAAGCCAAACAGACAATTCAAAAATATTATTGATGCGTAAGTATTTTGTACATTCCGTTTTATTTAATTTTTAAATATATATTGTATATCTTAATTACATAAATAATTTATTATTATATATATTTAATATTATAAATTACATAGTGCAATGGAGGCAAGCCGTAGGCTCAACTCAAGAAAGGGAAGAGTGAAATGGATTATTCCTATGGTAAATAGTTACTACTTTACTTTGTATGTTATTTTTACTTTCATTTGTGTAGCACCAAGTCGAATACCGTAATTTCTGATTAGTAATTATGTTATTCTAATTTTTAATCTCGGATGCAAGTTGGGAGTTATGAATGTGGTTATTATGTGATGTTGCATATGTTGAATATTGTTTCGGCGGTAATTCTTGAAATGTGGGATGAGGTACGTTATTATTTTATTTACATTCAATAGGTTTGCTTCACATGTAATGTTTTTTAATAACCTTCTTATTTAATTTGTTGCGATTCGCCAATCCGGAACCATTCTCATCAGAAGAGATTGATGAAGTACGAACTCGTTGGGCATCATATTTCTTTAAAATGACGCAATCCATCAACGACACATGATGAACGTGTTTGTTTAAGTTTTTGAGTGATGATGAGACTTGTAACTTTATACAATGGGTTATTACTCTAGACTTGTGCAAGGATTATTTTATTTTAGCTTATTATTATGTACTAAGTTGTTACTTGAACTTGTTTAATATTTATGGAAGAATTGAAAAATAGCTTGTGTTATTATTTTATTGGATCAAGTGAACAGGTGAAAAATTGTGCTATAGTAGTTGATGATACTGTTAATGATGTGATTATAGTATAAACAGGGGTCATATTGCAAAATTTTTTCGTGAAAAATACCGAAAAATTGAAGCTTTTCACATCAGTTGTGAAATAACCGATGTGATTGCATTTCTACATGGGTCATAACTGATGTGAAACACACATGTTTCGAAAAAATGAAGCTTTTCACATCAGTTGTGAAATAACCGATGTGATTTCTTTTTTACATGGGTTATAACCGATGTGAAAAACCTATGCTCCGGGAAAAATTGAAGCTTTTCTACATCAGTTGTAAAATAACTGATGTGGTTTCTTTTCTACATGGGTTATAACTGATGTGAAATATCATTAAAAACGTTGTTTCGGACTATCTTCTAGATCGGGCACTAAACGACCGATGTAGAAAGACTTTTCACATCGGTTGTTTGACCGATGTCAAAAGACAATACTTTTCACATGTGTTGGAACAACATCGGTTGTTTGACCGATGTGAAAAGCCGGTTTGACCGATGTGAAAAGCCTTTTTGTACTAGTGGAACTGCATGCTGGGGATTTGGAACCGTGTGCTACAATCATGCAAGGACATTGTGGATTTATGTCGCCACAAGGGCCATGGATCATATGTTTTTTCACAAGATTATGCATGTGAGAATATACAGTCGGATCTGGTAGTTCAGCAGTAATGAGTTGATCACAACGGGATGCAGTTGAAATTTTACATTCCCTAGACACGATGAGTAAGAAATGAGCATGGGGAAGACCTCTTTTCTGAAATTCAATGACATATGTGGGTGCAACTACTTTGCCAAATAAAGCTTTGGAAATTATGTCTTTTTTGAACTCTTCTAGACGGGCTCTAAAGACACGGGAAACAAGGTCAGGGCGATTTTGGGTTTCATCAGCGAAGGCTAGGTAGTCTTTGATTTCAGGTCAATTACGGTTGCAGGTGATAGTAATGAACAAATCTGGCTTACCACAATTTTGGACAAGCGACATTGCATCCATGTAACGACCGCACATATCGTGTGGCCCACCAATGAATGACCCAGACAGCATAATGTGATGACCTACCTCATTAGTGTTGTGAATACCCGCATCAACGTTGTCAACTAATCTCTGGTAGGTGTCACCCTGGTATTCGCGCTGCTTGCTTCGGTAATAATCAAGCTGTTGTGTCTCTATCTTAATATACAAGTCAACTATGTACTGTTGAAAGAGATGGCCAGAATGCATGACAAATGACGTGTTTGCATGACGTAATTGCAATTTGTATGCATAATATTGGCGACAGGAAACAAAATGCATTTTCCCCCCACCAACTCACCAAGTAAGCGTGCTTCCCCAGCTATCAGTGATTCATCTGTTTCAAAGCGGTTGCAATTGAGGGAAATTGAATTCACATGTAGGGGTGGACCGGTTCCGGTTCGGGTCCGGTTCGGGCCTGGGCCCGGCCGGGCCTCGGTTCATGAAAGGGGAGGCCCGGAACTGGCCCGGGTAACCCCGGGTCCGGTCCGGGCCGGGCCTTGGTTCTTGTATTTTTTTTTTTGGCTTTTCCTAATTAACCCCCAACCCTCCCACCTCACCCCCAAACCACCTCAAATGGCCCATCATACCCAGCCCAACCCAAAAACTTAAAACAATTCAAAAAAAAAAAGAAAAAAAAATAAATTGGCCTGAACCGGGCCCGAACCGGCTGGGCCAGTTCACGATTTAGGAGGCCCGGGCCCGGCCCGCCTATCTCACCGGGCCGGGTGGCCCGAACCGGGCACCAACCGGTTCAGTGGGCCGGTCCGGGCCCGCACAGTAGCGGGCCGGTCCGGTTCCGGGCCGGTTGGTCCGGTCCGAGTCCACTCCTATTCATAGGGCATGAACCGCTGTGTTGTAGGTCAACAAGACCTTTAGGAATGCCTTCGTGCCAGCCCACGTCTCCCTGCGGAAATAAAAGCGGGTATTGTAGAGGGACGTAGCAGCCGTAGTAGTAATGAATGTTCTGATACCTTCCGCTGTGCGCATAAACACGTATGTGTCTGGTCAAGGCGATTCCTTCATACCCATCCTCAACCCAGACAGCAGCAACCTGAGAAGACGTTGGGCGGTTGTAAACACGTTGATCAAGCCGAGGGTTCCCATTAAGGATAATGGAAAATTCGTCCGCCTGGTCCAGATCACTAAGTGACTTAAAGAACTGTGCGTACGGGTTCGTATACATCACTTCCATCAATACGTGAAGCATATCTTTATCTAGTCGCTCCGTTGAGTCCAGCCTACTGTTAAGGGCGTGATCTGTGTCGTAGAATTATAGTTGCAGATTTCGCGGTGGACAGCCATCATGGAGCAAGTCGTTTACGAAGTGGTATATTTGACCTTGAACCCTAAATGTATATATCCCCTAATTACGCCCCAATAGATGTGAAAGCAAAAGTATTGTTGTAAGTCCGCACGCAGGAGCGAAAGTGTTTTGATAAAGGGTTGAGCGACGTGAATAAGTGAACCAGTTGCTCTGGCATTTCAGTTGACATCAGAACGATCTCACCCTTACTGCAACACATACTTACAGGCTTATATTGCAGATGTTGAGCGCCGCAGAAAAACAATCAGGAAAACTTTGAAGGCGATACTAGTCAACGGTAATAGGAACCGACCAGCTACACTCGCCCACGGATGTGCGTGCTGCAATTGATGCCGGTATACAGACAAATGAAAATGACACCAAGCAAAGCCAAGGAAGACCACATGGAAAATACCGGTGGGAGGATAAGTAGTTTGGAAGTTGTGTGCGTGGAAACCAAAATGTGCACAGAGGTTAGAAGCATGTATAGGAACAAATATGAACGCATGGTATGTCAATAAAGGGTGGGTAAAGAAGGACAACAGAAGGTAGATAGGCAAAGATTTGAGGATAATTATTTTAAAAAAAACAAACGGCACCCAATGTACATTCGGTCGAGGTAAAGAGAGGGTATTTAAAAGGCAAAATGAATATGAAGAAGGATAGGGCAATATATGTTTGGTAGATTATTTGAGTTGTGTGGGAAGGGTATTTGAAAAACAGAAAAGGATAACAAGTTAGAATGGATCACCAACAGGCGTTGTAACAGATGTCATTTCAATAATCACACATACGAAGGGATGAACCTGAAGGAATGGAGGTGTCGCAGGTCTGATGGGTACTGGCAGCAACAGAAGCAGTACGATTGCGACTGACAGCAGTCCGCTGACTGTATGTCAACCGACGGCGTTTCAAATGCCGGTCATGTTTCTCTACTTGAGATAATTGATAGGCTAAACCACCGGCCCGCACCATAACCCAACTGTGTACACTATCAAAGCAACAGTCAATATAAGACTTGATGTCATTTGTATCCTCAAAGACAAATATTGACACGACAGCTTAAAGGGACACACAAATTAAAGGATGTCTTAGCAACAGACACATAAAGTTGGGCACATGCATGGCAAGTACAAGCACGCACACCATCAAGCAGGGTGATTCAACAATAGCTACAAACATAAGCAACAGAAAAGCTTATAAATGACTTATGGAGAGGATTATAAATGACTTACATGGAGAGGATCATAATTGACTTACAATTTAAGTGGATAAAAGAAGAGCAGTGGAGCACCTAATACCAAACAAATGTGAAACACAAATATTCATCCGTAGTGAAAAGTAACATCCACACTTCCAAACATAACACTTCAAAAGCAAATATGAAATACCACCCCACAAATAAGACAACACCACTCTGGGAGGAGAAAGCGACACCAGTATGACGTTGTTTAACCACTCTTAACCCACCCCTATGCGAAAGATTGGAACACAACATTACACCATCACAACAGTATTGAAAGAGAGAAAGAAGAAAAGCTAACACACGTCTGAAGAAATCAAAACCGAAAGCCCCAAAGGTAAGTCATCCCATCACAATCTTAGAGTGACCATAGAAATCAGAATCGGCCTTACACCCTTTTGCAAATGCAAAAGGGTTGAAAGAAAACATATTGAAATTCCATGACCCCAACCAAAGGAAAAAAGCAGAGAGGTAATCTAAGAGTCAAACAAAGAAGGAATAGAGAGCAAAAAAACCCCAAAACAAAAAGGCTGCAGAAAAACGGGTGCTAAAAATCAACCCAACTCTACGTACACACCAACGAATACATTTCAAGATTCTTTATGGATACATACAATACAAAAAAATGCACAACATGATACCATCCCTTCTCGACACTTAAACAAACACATACAACGCAAGCTACTGTAAATACCAATGGTAAGGGCTCTTTATGAATACATACAACGCAAGCTTTATTCTTAGAGTCACTATACAAATTAAAATCTGTCTTACACCCTTTTGCAATCGACTTTTGAAACCAAAGTCAACATTCAATTGCAAAAGGGTTGAAAGAAAACATATTGAACTGCCATCACAAAGCCTAAGCAACCACACAAATCACGAGTTCGTTTCCACTCTTTTGCAATTGGAAAAGGGTTGAAAGAAAACAAATTGAATTGCCATCACCCCAAATAGAAAAACAAAAAACCAGACGGGACTGATGGGGGCGCAAAAAAAAAACAAAGCACGCAGCAAACGAATACAACGCAGTGAAGATACTCACAGGTGCAGAAGACACAGTTGGATAGTCAGGTAAGCACAACGGAAGAAACCATGCGAACGACTACAGAAGGAACAAAATGAATGTATAGGATTATAACAACCAGTTGCAAAGAAATTGAACAGCACAATCACAGAGCCTGACAGAGATATTTCTTG